AATAATGGAAGTTTGTTGCTTGTCGCTTGTTCAGAATTATTCAAGGAACAATCTTTCACCATTTTATCTTCTTGTTCTTAAAAAGACTGAGTGTATTGCCTACCAAAAACCCTTAAATGTACTCTTTTGGAAAAAAAATCATATTTTCGTTGATGAGATTCGAAAAATTTGAAAACCCTTTCAAGGTAAAACATATTACTTCATTATTTCAAAGTAAAAACGAGAAAAAATATTTGCTTGGATGAAGTTATTGATATTTTTCACCGTTTTACATAATATGTAAAACGGTGAAAAATATCAATAACTTGATGATATTATCATCCTATACGAAATTTGCTTGAAGAACGGTAAGCTTCATATCTATAGCATGAATTGCCAGAGAATGGGGCTAGCAGACATCACAGACCAAAATAAAATTGTTTAAGAAACAAAAAAGTTATGTCGTTTTGAAAAAGAACGTACTTTTTGGTCGCGACCACGGTCTTATACAGGTCTTGCAACTTCGCCCAATTTCAATAGGAAAAGTGACCTCTCTAATGAGACACCCACCAGATGGCGCATCGAGTTGGATGGATAAACCATAGATGTTTAAAGGTCGTTTTTACCTTCTTTATCTTTGGGTTTTACAATCATTAAATAAGCTCTCTGGTGGATAATTTTCTTAGATAGAAGGTTTCTATGAAAGTTATTCGCCAAATAGGCTAACTTAATCTAACGATTGTAAAACCGGCTCTAAGTCCTTAAAGTCTATGGGATAAAAGGTCAAATGAACTACCTACTTATGTTCTGTGAAGAAACATAACCTACATTTTTATAAACAAGCTTGTGTATTTTGTTACAGGGAGTTTTTACTTATTGTTATTGTGATATTCGTTATTGTTATATTATATTGTTCTATTTTTTCTTGTTATATTTGTTCTTGTTATACATTTGTATTTGTGCTTTTTAATAGACATGAAGTCCTGTGTTGTGCCAAAATGTAACCAGCAAAGCTATCGTTCCGGCATTAAAATTAAGCGGTCCATGTTTAAAGTGCCAACAAATAAGGAGCGGTTAAAAACATGGCAATGTGCAATAAAAAACATATTATTGACACCTTCACATTTTGTATGATTATTATACAGGGTGTCCTGAAATTAGTGCACCATACTTTAACAGCAGATTGTACGTGCAAAAATAAGAAAAAAAGTCTCTATAAACATAGGTCAAGAAATGCCTCTTAGGGGAGCTACAGCCCCCAAAAGGAAAGCCCCTGAAGATGGTTTTTATTTAATATCTCCAAAACCGTTAAAGATATAAAAGTGAAATTTGGGGAATTAATTAAACTTTTTATGACCAATAAGACGTAACAATAACAATTTAAAAATTTTTATGAGGTTCGGGTCAGATTGATAGGAAGTAGGGTTAAAACCACCTTAACTTTTTTGTACGTATCTTGTACCAGAATTTTAGAGTTTTGCACATAAAAAAGGTCATCTTGTTGAACTTCGATAACATACACCGTTTTCGCATAAAATCGATTTGAAAATTATTTTACATGGCATAAAAATTCACAATTAAATCACAACCATGGAAATGGACTCGCGTGGTCCTTGGAATACGGCTGCCATGTTTAGGAAAAAATAGAATAATTCAAGACAGGTGACAGTTTCATGTAGTAAGTGACAGGGTGTTTCTACTTTTTTATTTATATTAGATAAAAACCATCTTCAGGGGCTCCCTTTTCGGGGGCTATAGCTCCCTTAGGAGACATTTATCGACCTATATTTATAAGGACTTTTTTCTTATTTTCGCACGTAGAATCTGCTGTTAAAGTATGGTGCACTAATTTCGGAACACCCTGTATAATTAAGCACATCGTGTTGGTGAAATATATATTATTTTAAATAAACAATCAACCCATCCCCGCCAAGACAATAAAAAAATCGGTTATTAATAAATTAGCCAGAATATTGGTTGGATAGTTTGTAAACTATCTAAAGCTTGGCTATGTTGTGTTACTAGAAATTTTGGTTTTCATATTAGCCAAATTGAATTGGATAGTTTACAAATTATCCAGCTATTCCTAAATAATTTCAAGTAAATTAGCCAAGACCCTTGGTTGGTTTACAAACTAGCCGCTAATTTAGTTAAAAATACGTTTTCAATTAAAATAGCTGACAGTTTGGCTAGTTTATAAACTACCCAGCTACTTTATAAACTATCCATGTTTACACATTAGCCGTAACATATATATGATATACGTATGTATTTTATACATTAACATGTTTTACTTACATGTTTGGTCTGGGCATGTGACGGCCGAGGACTTTGTGCATAGAGTATAGACTTTGTTGTCCTATTTTGTTAACGTAAATTATCCGAAACAAACTCACAAATATTAAATTTTTGAAAATGTAAACAAAACATAGAAAAAGAATTTAAAAAGTTAGGTTATGGTTATGCAGTAGTTCCACATTTAACTAAGTAATAGTTTAATTGACTTTACCCCTTCGATCTTAGCGCCACCTAGCGGCTTGGCACGTTAAGGAAGCCACCTCGAAGCTTAAAGTTGCAAGACCTGTATATAAGACCGTGGTCGCGACACATTGAGTGGTGCCTTCGTCGAAAATCCTATGCCAATGAGAGTAACGAAATAACATTTAAAAAATAAAAATATGATCCAATTATTTATCCTCGATTTTTTTAAATTAAACAGCCAGTACGTGTGTGTTTTGGCATTATCTAATCACTGACCCAGTCGATTTAAATTTTGTTATTAAAATTTAAATTATTTTATATACATATCGTATTTTGACGGTAAATGTATTCAGACTTTTTTAAATAACTGAATCTTTAAAAGGAAATTAACTCAATACTAGTAAGTATTACGTAAACGTAATGGGTTAAGCAGACTTCGGCAAAACCGAATGTTGCTATGATACGTCAGCTGGTGTCACCAAAAATAAAAATACGGTATGCTTGACATTAACACGACCTTAAATTACGGTCCGTAATATTTAGGCAAGGTGTAGTTAGTTATCGGATAAAACAAGTATTTTTAATTAAAAAAACAAACAAAATTGATTCGTGCTTCGTAATTCTACATGATATTTTAGAAGAAATGACTTAAAATATGCTATATTTTATATAAATTGTTTAACCAATCAGAGCACCCCAAGTAGCACAAACGCGCTGAAAATTGTCATATACCTTACTATATAACAATTTTTAATATAACACTTTTATTTTAAAAATAACTGGTAACCTTTAATATGGCGCTTATAAACATGGAAAAGGCGCAAGTTTATAAAACAATTGTATCCGATAGACGTTATATAATGATCGCCCATGATAATTATATAACAATATTTAGCATTTTATAAAAACGTTACATAACAGTTTTTTAATAGAGCTGTAAGTGAGGTCCCGGATGATCCTAAACAACATTTTTGTGTTCTTTGACAATACTATAAAAATATTTTATAAGTATCGTTTCAAAAGGTTATTAGTGGTAAAACACCATTACAGAATACTTATAAAATAATTTTATAGCAGCATTAAAAACGTTTCATTTAAAAACAATATGTGTTGCATAGGACTTTAACAACTTAGCGATGACATTTTGATTTTGTAAGAATCATGAAAAACATTATTTTTATTTTTATACGATAATAATGGCGACAAAAATGATTTGTTAAATGCTCTCATGATGCTCTCCTAAATTATTTGGTTGATGGCGGCTTGATGAATTTCACAGGCTTTGGATAGTATATAATAACTTTATGAACAATATTAACGGCTCTGATTGTAAAATACTCTTACCACGTCAACTTTACTGACATTATACATATATATTTGTGGTGAAATTTTAAAGCGCTTCCAATTTTGCCCATATTTACCAAATTAAAAAAAAATGATTATTATTTTTTAATTTTTTTTGTTTCTAATAAAATAAAAAAATATTGCATTGCGTTCTGTTGCACTCTGAATGCCAAATCCGATGTTACAATCGAAACTTTCAATAGACTTCATCGATATTAATGTGATTTTTCGTTTTAATAACAATATGGTTGCCTTAAATATAAAGTTTATTTTGATTTGAACAATGAAAAACATGGCGATTTGAATTAAATCATTTTTATCCCTTACGACATACCTATAAAATTGAACTGTGTTTGAAATTAGTTTTATAACACAATTCTGATATATAATTTATCTATATAAAAGTCGTCGCGAAAACAAAATTGTTTCTCACCTATTTTAGCAGCTACAATGTTGTCAAAATGTCAAATATTTTTTTAATGTTCTAGATACCTACCAAATTATATTTTGTATAGATATTATTGCCTTTTTGTTTTTATAATAATTTTTTTCGAGAAATTTAGAATCCATCAATCCCTGTAGAGTTTATAATCGTTATTGTTGGCAGGGCTGTGTCGTAGAATATCGAATACATTTTACCAAGTTTAACTGCTAATAGCATCATTAAGAGACGATTAATGAGTTTTAATCAATTTATGCGAATATTGTGTAGGTCTCACTCATATATTTAAAACATATTAAATATATGGTCTCACTGCATGCTACCTACAATCAATCCAACAGAAATTATGGTAACTTCGGCAATACCGCATCTCCAGCAAACACGTTTAAGATTCCAGGTTCCCATTTTTTAATATGGTGGCAGCACAATCGAATATCGAATGTTTTATTATGACATTAATAAAGAGGTAATAAAACAATATTGTTTTTTAAAACTCACTACAATTACCTTAAATAACACTTTTGTTATAAAGTACTTGTTAGGATAATTTTATTCGATAATTTTGTCTAAGTTCATGTAAATCTGTTATTTAATGAGGTTTTGATGATCACCACAGGTGTTTATTACGTTTACGGTTATTTTTGTCAGTGCTATTTTAAAAATAGTATTTTTCAAACGACTGTGTGATGCAAGATCGGTGGGTTTTCCAGAACCACTATATATTCCTACTATAATTGGTTTTATTTGCGTGATTTCATGAACATTGCATAGTATCGGCCAAAATTCGTTTTTGGAACTTAAAAATAGGGAGGCCATCCAAATTTATATTAAGTGATATTGAATCCAAAGACGTTGACACGTTTTCTAATAATCGTAATAAATTAATTTTCAACCTGAAATGCCAGTAGTATCCATTAGTCATTTTAATTAGGTTAATTTTTCTAGCAGTTTGTAATAATGTTCTTGGATCTTTTGGAAGAAGATTAGGAATTCTGTCATTCAAAATAATAAAAAGCTCCCTTAATGCAAAATGACTAATATTACAGGAAGCCCATAGTCGGATGCGCTGATTCACCTTAATATTTTTACTGATTTCGGACAGCTCTGTGGTATCTTCTTCGTCACTTAAATCCACAAGTTCTACATTGGCACTTCCTTTATCATAAGTTCCAAGCTCTAGTTGCAAGCCATGGCTTTCAGAAGAACTTGAATTTACATTTTGATGTTCTAAATCTGTGCTAATAGATTCCAACTTAGCAGTAGATGATGATCTCGCGACTATTTGATTATCTGTATCTTTAGATAAATTTATAATTCGTTGATAGCTATCTTTCACTCTTTTTCTGAAATTACCATTACGTTTAAGCTTTTTCCAATTAGAAATTTGACTAATCGACATTTTATAGCTTTGCAGTAGACTGATGAATTCTGAATTAGCATAAAAAGTTAGGTTAGTATTAATGAAGCTATATAGGAATATCGCATAAGATAAAATTGCGATTTTAAAGCGCTTTTTATTTTATTACCTACTTTTAATTACTTTATACAAGCGTCATTAAATATAATAATAAAATACTTTTATTAAAGTGGTTTTAAACGCAAAAATGTCGCAATTTGCAAATTGTTTTAAAAGTAAATCTCCAAAACAGCTATAAAATCTTGTTATAAAGCTCTTACAAAAAATAAAATTTTATTTTTGTTATGGTATTCTGCATCTCCAATAAAATCATTTTAAAACAATTATAAAATAAATTTAGCTCAAGCGTAAATAGATTTATAACTATTGATTTATAACCATGTATAACACATTTGATTCGAAGCCTTTAAAAATGTTTTATTAATCAGTCTCAACAACAACTATAAAATACTTTAATAAAATATATCAGTTTCCAAAGCATATTGGTGACCTTGGCGAGCTTTATTCGACTATTCGCTCTTAAAGGAAGTAACAATAAAGCAAATATATAACTATTTAGTCGAATAACAAAATTTATGTGCTACTTGGGACCTGATGCTCTTTCGCAATCTAGTGTGTGGTTCTCTGATAAGCCAAATCAATTTTAATGTAAATTAATTTCACATATTTTAAGAAACACCCCCCAGAATTGCCAAGGACTTGATCGCACTATAAAATTCAAAATAGGATATATTTTTTGTGCAGTTCAAATAAAAATTAACTTTGTTAAAAATCATTGAAATGAGATTGAAGGCTTAAATGAACTGTTTTTTAATGAACTATTGTTTTATTATTTAACTAAGACACAATTAAACTATAACCCAACCGCATAAACGCTGCAATAAAATAAATGAGTAGTAGAATACCGACCGCTAACGTTGCACCTAAAACACATAGTCTGCGAATTTATCATTCGGTCTTTTAATGCGCAACATCAAGCTTTGTTCTAACAATCCTTTTGCAGTTTGAATGTACTGCAGATAAGGTCAATTTAGACGGAATTAACTGCCGTTAACCATTCCTGTCCAAGAAAGGATAAAGAGTGACGTTTTTTTTTGGAAAGGGATAGACGTTCATGGCTTTTAAACGATGTTGAAAAAGAAGAAAATGAAATGACATAATGGTAAAGGATTTTAAGGATAAATTCACTTGACTTAATTTTAAATTTCTGAGGATTAACCAAGGTATTAGTAATGACCCCATTCAATTGGGGTTCATGAATAAGGCATGGGATATTAGTACGTTACTTGGACATCCTTGCTGGTCTTGTATTTTATACGGTTCTCTGTCCGGTCTGCTGGAATTCGGAATCTGCTGCACGCATTTGTTTTTACACACTCTTAGAAACACTTAAAATGACTCGTTATGAGTTATTAAGTCTTTGTCCCAGCGGAAAGGCAGTCGCTAATGGTTAGACAAATTTTACCGAATACAACAGTCATTATTGGGTTTGGTTTAAAGTTTTTTTAGAATAGTTTTTGTCTGCTAATCCTAATCAATCCCTATAATTATTTGACTTAACTATTAGTAGTAGTACAACTATTCGTTGTTTTCTTGTTGTGGTAGAAATTATGTTTACTTTTTCTTATTTAACAATTAAGAAATCGCATTTGTATTTATTTTTACATGCTTCTACTATTTATTTTTTTTATACTCGAGAAGGTCTCTCAGTTTTTTTATTTAAGTCAAAGATTAAAAATTGGTTTGATTACTTACATAAGATTTATGTGTTTATTAAGTACTACTTGTCACGTCCTACTGCCTGTACATTCGGTATCTTTGGTCTATTTAATGTATGGGTTCGTTAACCCTGTTCAACTCTTTTATTCTTTCTTGTTGATTTCTACGGATTTGTCACTTGGGAAGGTATTAACACACCCGTAGGCTCGGTGAATTCTTATTTACGCAAATAGCGAAATGCAAATATTAAAAACTTATCTGAATATGTCTCCTTGTCCCCTTATAATTGGTTTCTTCCAGGTTCATGCTGCGATGAACACCTGTTCAGGTGGGTGGTTCCGTGACTTCGACAGGTGGGGTGGCAGTTCACTTCGCGCTTTTAAACTTTTAGATTAGGTTTTAAATGCACTGACTATGCACTGTTTAATTCTTTATAGTTCAGAGCGGAGAAACTATAACGCCTCGACTGTAGGAGTGTTGATTTAGTACTAGGAAAATATTTGTTATTCTTTTATAATATCACTTATCAGATATTACTAAGTAATAAGATAGAGTGGCTTCCAATTTCTGAAACACTGGGATATATTTTTAGAATATTTAGAGTAATTTAGCAATTGTTGATATGCTGGCGCTTGTTACTTTCAACGTCTTTACGACTAGTTTGAAAACGTTAATACCACTCTATATATATATATATAAATTGCAGATCTTACCACAAACATGTTACATTTTTTATAGAAAAAACAGACTAAAATATAAATTGCAGATCTTAGCAATTTTTTACATTTTTAACAGCAGACTAAAAATCTAATTCGGGTATCAATGTGCACATACTATTTTAAACATTAGCAACCCAACAATGAAAAATTCCGTAACTATCTGAACACACTTCGTACTTTTACCTCGGTATTTTAACCATTTATTTATTATTACTGCAGGCTGATTAGTGTACTAAAGCTTGAGGGACACTCATTAAAAATATTATTAAGGCTTATTTATACTGGGATGGAAAAAGCACCAATAAAAATTTTAAATTATAATATATTTTTAGAAAATCAAGAAAAAAACATATTCTTTACTATTTAATAGATATCAAGGGCAGATTTAGCACCGATTTATAGTTTTCCCGTTAATATGCATAGGCACTAAACCACATAAATGCTCGTGTTGGTATTTACCCATGATCATGATCCTCACTACAATGAACGTACAGAGAGTTGCATGATAAATCACCTGTTTTAGTTTTACTGACACAATAATTTTGCCACAAATTCATTTCCAATTTTATTTTCATCCTAATTATTGCTTCATCGTAATCTTCGAGTCCCAGAAATTCTAGATATTCCTTAAATATTGAATGTGTTAGTTCATCAGGGGGTTTGTTAGTTTATTTACCAATGGAAATTGTACTAATGGATATTGTATTTTTTCCTATTTATATATTGTATTTTTCTTTCGTGAATAAACTTATTATTATTATATTATTATCACGATTTGGTTTGAAAAATATTGATGATAAGATCACATTTAAATGCAAAATAATTATTAAATTTCATAAATTATATGTCATTAATAAGAAAATCTAAAAAGTCAGTAATTCTGAAATAATCTTTTGGACCATTTGTAAGCGCAGATATGTGGACACATGTACTTTTAATTTTTTATGTAGTGAATACACTTGTGTATCTATTGAAGTGGTTTGTTATACTTATGCTTAAATTTGCAGAATATGATAGTACTTGTGATAGAGAAAATAATATTTTATTAAACAATAACTGTGAATCGAGTATATAAATCTATAGCTAAAATCTATAACTTAAGCAGAAAAATTTTAATAAGATAATTAACAATTGACTCCAAAGATGAACAAAATCTGAAGTTCGACTCATGGCGCTTTACCCACCCAAGTTTTATTAAATTTGATAGAATACATTTTCTTAAAACAGTAATTCTTTTAGAGGACGTGCTAAAAATAAAATAACTTCTTTTATTGTACCAATAGAGTTATATACACTTTGTACTACTAGTTTTTGAAAGTGATAAATTTAGCGCATGATTATAAAAAGACCTGTGATTTACTTTTTTTTAAATTTTACCACAGCTAATTTTTGCTCCTCAAGCATAACACATGTAATCCGCGCAACAATTATTGTTTCGCCATGTCCTCTTTTACAAAAAAAAACAAACACACAGCTATAAATCTAGGTGGTCACACTGGAGCGCTCCGAGCTATAGCGACGCTATTCCTATTCGCATAACCTACCTACGGAGTTAAAGTTCTTGAATATAATCTTCTTATAGCAAACTATAATTAGAGTTTGCTATAAGAAGACTATATTCAAGAACTTTAACTCCGTAGGTATATGCGAATAGGAAAAGCGTCGCTCGGAAGAAACGGTCTACTATGCGCACAAAGGTACCGTTGGTCAACTTTTGGTTTTTAAACTTGGTAACCTGCGCACTTCACTTTAATCTTTAATATTTTAAGCTTCTAAAAATTATCTTTTTAGTTTGCTACTTTAATGTTTTAATGGCAAATAAACCAAAAAAACATTAAAAATGCATAAGCATTTTGTAAAATTAGATTTTTTAATATTGCCTTTTTAAAGCCTTACTTTACTAACCAGTAACTTTATTATATTGAAATATGTAAATCAATATTAATATATTATAATAATAACACAACTCATTACTCTAAAAGTTAATTCCTATCATCTCTATCTCTATAAATTTTACTTCAATAGTGTGCTTATAAAGATAAGGCACAAACAATTTTTTCTTTTTGCAATTTTTTCTCTCAAACCAAAGTTGTTTTATACATGTACACTCTTAAAGTTTGGAAGTGCTTATTTGTAAACCGTTTCATATTTCATAACTAATTACAAATCCCTAAGCTATTAATTTTAGTTATTGTAGAGTATTGTGTTTTAATATTGCAATAGGATTAAAAAATATAGCATAAAGTTTCACCGCATAATGACGCCTAATAACAATATGTTCCAACATGGTTTTAATTAGAACAATAATGTGTATTAACACCTTTTGAAACAGTAACGTTTCGCATATGGTGTGCTATAATTACGGTAATGTTCGGCTGGATCCAACTCATGACAATAAGGCTAAAGTTTCGGCTTTCTGGTCGCTATACGCGGAGAGTGAGCCGTACGTAAGCCATGTGCTAGAAAATTTATGAGCGTTGCATATGTATTCATTAAAAGGTCGATTTTCCAGCCACAGGTTCCAACTTTATTAACCATGTAATT